CCTCCTATAAGTTGCTTTCTTACAAGAATTGTTTTTGTCTTAGATAAGCTACTTCGACGCCTTCGCCAGGCAGCACCAAACCAAAGCGTTGAGCTGGTTACCAAGAAAATTAGTGTCAATCAACCCTCTGCCTGGGAACACGAAAAGTGAGATGGTTAACATTTTCTGAGGTTGAAACTTAGCAAATAATAAATGCTTCAAGATTCAATATCAAAAGACTTCCTGCAATTACTCTTTCTCGTCTATCAAGTCATGATGATCCGATTAGAAAGTCCATGCTCGATACTCCCAGCCAATTAAGCTTGGAAGCTTTGGAGCAGAATATTCGGTGAGAAAAGAAAGCCATCAATATAGCATTTTTTCATTATTCAACAACGGTCAACATGTTGTAGTACCATCGCCGAAGCTGTGCTAGGTCACATGCTTTCAATCCCGGAAGGTGGATATTCAACAGATCCACGAGTTTCTGCTGACACCTCTCTATTGTCTCGCGACGCTGTTGATCGGCAACGCCTTGCGCATGCCATTCGACAATTCGCAACGCGACCGCGACCGATTGCTGACGAAGCGGCAACTGTGGCCTGCGCTGCAAACTTGGCTGTCGCAGTGGGAAACTATGCCAAGGTAGGACCTTCATTATTGCATGGTTGAAGGCAGCATTCCATTGTGTTCCCTTAGGTCACAGTGTCGCAAGTGTCGATGCATGAAGTGCAGATCTGGCCTGGAGTGTCGGATCGACTGATGGCTGAACGGGTGAAGCCAGCAGTGTTTGATCTCGTCATCGCCGGAGGCGTCTTTGCCTATCTGGCTGTATTTTATCATGTGAGCTTTTTATGACTTCGTTAAGTACTATACATAAGTTACAATAGTATCTATAAACGTTTCATTTTGTTCTAATTTTCAGAGTGCATGTTTTCAATTTCAGCTAGTTAGCCGAGCTCAGCGAGTGCTCGAAGGTGCTATGCTCAAACTGCGAAAACGAGTGTAAACTATACACGATTCGATGTTATCACTACAATTCATCAGGTCTCTTTTATCTTCTTCTGATTCCTTACCCATGAATGACTCAGAGCGAAAGCTACAGTGTTAGAAGTAGTTTTTTTTCCAAATAAAAATCTCGTTTTCTCACCAAAACTAGAACATAGTTGTCGCGTGTTCTTGTTTTTGTGCCAGAGCCGAGTACTTGTACTGCGCTAGTATGAATATACGTGGTAATGTTGTACTTTGAGGTTGTTTGTTGAGCACAGTTCGAACATAACTTTAATTTATTTATACAGACATTGTTGAGCTTTGTTACATACAAATTGATCTATTTATGAATGAATTTTAGTCGAGTTTGTGGAAGTAGCAATTTTACGATTAACGGCCTACATATATGTAACAATAGGAATATTAAGGTGATTACTGAAGACCAAAATGAATTTTTGGCGCTTCATTATCTTAACAATGATGGAAGTGGAAGAGAAAGTAAAAAAAAA